TTCCAAAGACCTGTTTGCTGGTTACCTAGCTCATAGACCTGCCTGTGAGGGGTCTGGTGACCCAGCCTGGTGTGTGAAGGGTTTGTGACCCAGTCTGTGAACATGCTTGAGGGGTCTGTGAGCTCCAGACCCAGCCCTAGCTCGACAATTGACCCAGTCAGCAGGATTACGGGCAGGTAAAATAGCACGACACTGCTTATGTTACTTTTCTCCCAGTCTTAGCAACATGGAAAACAAAGTCTCAAGTAGTATATCAGACTCCACAGAAAAGGGCAAAGTCATGTGTAGTAGCCTCTCATCCTAGGGAGGTGAATAGAGTTCCATCACTGAACTCAAAACACTTTTGTTTTCTTTTACCATCCTTTAAGTAGACCCAATCATGCATTAATAGGGTTAGTTTTTGTACAATCTGGTAATTCTTAAAAGAATGAAAAACATTTAAGAATATTAAATGTCCAAAGACTTCTGAGAAAGAAGCCAAAGACAGCTTCCTTCTCTAGAAGAAAAATCCATCTTCTCATCCAAAAATGTGTATTTATACGGAGACTGGGATGGTTTAGTTGGATATGAAATTAATCTTGATATCTTGTCTTTATGCTTCTTTATTATGCATGTTTAATTGCAAAATTGGATCTTTCTTCTTATCCAGTAAATCTATGTCACAGGGTGAGCCAGGATTTAGATATATACATATATGCAACTTTTAAACATCTCTTTCATTTCAAATTTACTGCTGCAATCTCAACTGTGCTTATCATGATAGTAGCTGAAACTGGAAGACATTTTAAAAAATCCTGAAGTCATCCATACTTGCTGTTTATTTAGTCTTCTTGTTTGGAACAAAAGGTAAAAAATTCACAAATACCACCACCTAAGGACCTGTTTCAAATGAAAAATAAGCCATCAGCTTGCAAAATAATTTCTATATAATTACGCAAACAGCAGAAGATTCATGTCAGTTCCTTCATTCTTCTTGGAAAAGTTGGCAGGATAACTGCGTACTAGGTGTGTCTCTGTGTTGAATCAAATCCTGAGTTCAGAATTTTGTTTTCAAGATGAAGATAAAAGCACCTAAAGGTAAACGAAAATGTCTTTCCTGTGATAAGAAACCTCACATGGTCCAACAGATGCATTCAGGCTCCCAGGGGCCCGTTGCCCCTGGCCCAGAGGCCAGTTGACCCCAGTACGCCTCACTTAGCCATTTTTGATCTTTCTCCAAGTTTTCTTTTTAATTCATGTCATAGTATTTTCTAATTTTCCTTGCGATTGCTTCTTTAACCCATTGTTATTTAGGAGTGTAATGTTTAATTTCCACATATGTGTGAATTTTCCAAACTTCTTTCTATTATTAATTTGTAATTTTATTTTATTGTTATTGGAGAACATACTTTGTATAATTTTGATCACTTTACATTTATTGAGGCTAGCATATGGTCTGCCCTGGAGAATTTTCCATGAGTACTTGAGAAGAATATTTATTTTGTTGCTATTGGTTTGAGCATTCTGTAGAGGTCAATTAGGTCAATTTGGTTGATAATGTTGCTCTAGTCTTCTGTATAATTGCTGATTTTCTGTCTACTTGTACTATCCATTATTGAGAGTGGAGTATTCAAGCCAATGCTGTAGTTCCAGTTTAAAGGCCATCAGGCTGGGGACCCATGGAAGAGCTGATGTTGTAGTCCAAGTTTAAGGGCTGTCTGCTGGCAGAATTCCCTTTTGCTTAGGGGTGGTCAGTCTTTTGTTCTATTCAGGTCTTCAACTGACTGGATGAGGCCCACCCACATTATGTATGGCAATCTGCTTTATTCAAAGTCTCCTGATTTAAATGTTAATCTCATCCAAAAGCACCCCACAGAAACATCCAGAATAATGTTTGACCAAATATTTGGTCACTGCGGCCCAGCCTAGTTGGCACATAAAATTAACCATCACATCCTCTAAAAGAAGGCCAGTCTCCTAAGAAATGTATAGGATGGAAGAAAAGAGGAAAACAGAGCCTCAGAATGTTAGCCTAAGATGGGTGGACACAGTTGAGGTCCACAAATTTCTCCTTTATCAACCCTGAGGAACTACTCATGAACTGGGAAGTTTAGACAGATAGGAAGCCCGAGACCCTAAGAATTATAGAGGGTTCAAGATTTACAAGCTATGCCTCTTTCTTGAGTTTCTCTTCAGGTGAGACCATGGTAAATCGGGAAATTTTTCAAAAGAAAAAGAAGTGGAAAGAGCAAGTAACTCCATCTGCAAGAATTATGTGCTGACCTCAATTTTATACTACTTAAAAAACTGGAATGTTGCCCATTTATTAAAAATGATAAAGATGAAAAAAAGATAAAGATGATAAATAATTAGGGATATGGAAAAGGAGCAAAAACAACACAATATAAATATAATATCTATAAAATGTTGATGTTAAAACATTACATATTTAAATGAAAATCAGAAGAGAACAAAAAGATGCTTACTATGGGATGAATGTATCCCCCAAAGTTCATATGTTGGAATCTTGATTCCCAGTGTGGTGGTGCTGGGAAGTGGGGCCTAAGGGGAGGAGTTTGGGTCATGGGGAACACCACCCTCATGAATGGGTTAATGCCATTATCTTGGGAGGGTTTGTTACTGTGGGAGACGGTTCCTTAGAAAAAGACAAGTTCAGTCTCCTCTTGCTCTCGCTCCTGCTCTCTCTTTGCCCTTCTGCTATGGGATGATACAGAAGAAAGGCCCTTGCCACCTTGCCAAGTGCCAGCCACTTAGTGTTGGACTTCCCAGCCTCCAGAACTGTGAGAAAATAAATTTCTCTTATTTATAATTTACCCAGTGTAGTGGATTGAATTATGTCCCCCCAATCTCTTTGAAGCTTGAATTGTGTCCCCCAAGTTTTATGTATTAGAAACTTAGCCTCCACTGTGACTGTTAAGAGAGTGAGAAAGCCATTTATGGTAATTAAAAGGTGGAGCCTTGAAGAGGTGATTGGATTGTAGGACCGTGCAGTAGAGAATGGGTTAAAAATGGTGGTCAGGGGTGTGGTTCTGAGGGCTTTAAAGGAAGAGGAGAGTCTGTCTTTCTCTCTGTCTGCTTCCACCATCTTGCAACGTGAGACCCCTGGGTCACTGTTGCCACCACCAGATGTGTTCCTTGGACTTTGGATTTCCCAGTCTCAGAAACTGTAAGCAATGAACTGCCATTTATGGTAATTAAAAGGTGGAGCCTTGAAGAGGTGATTGGATTGTAGGACCGTGCAGTAGAGAATGGGTTAAAAATGGTGGTCAGGGGTGTGGTTCTGAGGGCTTTAAAGGAAGAGGAGAGTCTGTCTTTCTCTCTGTCTGCTTCCACCATCTTGCAACGTGAGACCCCTGGGTCACTGTTGCCACCACCAGATGTGTTCCTTGGACTTTGGATTTCCCAGTCTCAGAAACTGTAAGCAATGAACTTTTGTTTTCTTTACAAATTACCCAGTTCCATGTATTTTGTTATAAGCAACAGAAACTGGCCAGCTGCAAGACAGAGATACAGGGGAAGATTAGATTCCTGCCTTGAGGAGAGAAAGGAGCAGATGAAAGGAAGGCAGGAGGTCAGAGAGAGAGAAATTCTGATTCCTGAAGCCTGCTTCCGAGTCCTAAAACGCTTATTGTTTTAGTCACTAAGGAAATAATAAGGGATATGGGAGTTATGATCCAGGAACCGTGGACAATGCCCCCCCCCATATATATTTTATAATATAACATCACACTAGTGTAGAATTCTGGGTAAAATTTCCTTTTCTTATATTTTGACTTTTGTTTAATAATAAATGATTATTTTGATTTAGGAGAGAGGTTCTTTGTATCACTAAAACTTCAGGCATCTCTATCTCCTTTTTTCCTTCTGCATATGCACACTGGTGCATAACCTAATACAAACTTCTATTATTTCTCTGAATAATGTTAATATGACATTCTTAACAAGTTAATTAGAGGGGATGATGATGTACAAGTTCCCGAGTCTCAGGATTTATGGATTTGTGGGTCTCAGTTTTTGATATTTCTCAACTGGCTTTCTTAGAAAGCAAGAAGAACCAGATACCAAAGTAAGACATCATGAAGAAAAACAAAATATTATTTTGTATTCTCTCCTCATCACATCCAAAGAGGAATCTATTTCAAAGCCTCTTGAACAAATGATGTCAGTTCTCTCAACATTAATGTTTGAGTTCTAACAGAAGATAGGAGCAAGCCTTGTAGTTAGCGGTGAAGGACACCAAACAGTATTTCATTTTATTTTATTTTTTTGAAGTCACCACCATATCAAATCCGAACAGTATTTTTAATGTCTAGACAATACCAGGGTTATGAAAAGAAAAAAAATGAGCCTTGCATGCTCATGGTATACTGCTTCTTGTCCCCAAACTGCTTAAATACTCCTGCGATTTTTGCTCGTGCAAGGGATCTTTTAGTTACTTATCTTTGGATCTTCTCCCTGGGTCACCATCAATAAGGTATTCTGTTTGCCCAACAACAGCTGGTTGGGCCCAACCTGAGAGCAGCTATGGAGAAGATTGTGTGGATATAATACTTCTTTTTTTTTTTTTACAACATTTGGAGTTTGGAGTAAGGAACCGAGTAGGGCTGCAGATGGCAGGGAAGGCAGGGGGAATAAAGGTCACTAACCAGGAGCCTTGGCAATGGAATGGTGGGCTAAGGAATGGGAGAGGGATTGACGAAAGGGTGGGCTGAGGTAGGGATGGTGGTGGAGGCCAGTGTGATCCAGCGGAGAAAAAAAGCAGCAGCAGGATGGGCTAGGGACCTGGGCTCTGGGGTAGTAGTGAAGGAGGCTGGTAGGCTGCTGAGGGTTAGACTCTTAGAGGTTTGGGACGAGGGGGTGAGGGAGCGAGGGGTGACGGGGAGAGGGTGCTGCGCAGCGCATGCGCGGGAAGCGCACTGCGGTGATCAGCGAGAGGTTGTGTTTTTCTGGCATCAGCGCAGCGGCTGGAGGCAGGGCTGGTACCCTGTCTGTTCTCCACTGCTGCTAAGGCCTTGCTGCTGCCAACCAGGCGCTTCTCTCCTTCTGTCCCGCAGTTCTCTCCACCCTTTCTTGGGACGGCCGGCTTTAAGAATCCCTGCTACGACATTCTATTCGGCCAGGAGGTAAAGGAACGACGTAGGGGAAGAACATAACATGGAGGGTGGCGGGGTGCATTGTCCCGGTTCACGGGCCTAAGTCCTCCAAAAGGATGTTGAATATTTACTTCCTATTGTAAAAGAGATGCAGACTCCTTTCCTCTAACCAGCGTTGAGGCACCTGAGCTTAGGTATTTTCTATAACACTCATCGTTTAAAAAATTTGGAGTTCCTCATTTATAGCAGGTGTATTTAAAGGGTGAGCCTTCAGGATTAAACCATCATCCGATGGTTTATGAGAGCTTTCTTTGCCTTTGTTCAGGTTGGCAGGTTTTATTACGTGAATCCGTAGGTATTCTAGCCCCTTTCTTGGGGTTTGGTGGGATGGCGGTTAGATCTGCGATCTACTGGGATCATCTGCAAGGCCTTTCGGTATTCAACTTCCCTAGTTTATCACATCTACCCGTATTAGGGAAGGCTGGTAATGGCTCTCCTTGGGCACTTGGGCACAGCTGTGGCGAGAGACACATCCAGATGTGAGGCACGCGCGCGCACACACACAAAAGGGAGGCGGGAGGGGAGCGGGGTAGGATAGTCGCGGTGCGCATGTTGTTCGAGAGGCTGGATCGGGAGCTCTCGGGTATATTTTAGAAGGCCTGACGTGAGAGAAGCCGGTTCCAGTGGTGGGGGGGACGCACGCACGTGCATAGCTTGGGTGGAAGGTCGAAAGGGAAAGACACGCATGCGTATTTAAGAAATAAAAATTTGGCCCTGGTGGTTGGGAGGAAGAAGGAAGATACGCATGCGTGTTTGAGGCACCATTGTGACGTTTGGGTTCAACTGTAGGGAGGGAGAGGCGCGCATGCGTTAAGTGTAATTAAGGGTTGCAAAATGGCGAGGGGGGAGGTAAGTTGTCTTTGCTTGGCCATCTTGGGCTAGGAGGGCCTGCAGAGAAGCAGATCTACCTTTCTAGCTGAGAGAAGGGAACCAGCCTGAGTTGGAGGTGTCCTAACTGTGGTCAAATCCACTAAAAATAAACGCAGAATCTTAGCCTCTTACCGGCCTGTCGATAATGTAGGTTTAAAAATGCGGAGGCGAAGGTGACTCTAAAGATTGCGGCAGCTGGCTGTGTGTATGAAATGCGTTAAATGGAGCACTTAGAAACAGGCCACATTTGCGCAGTACACATTCGGAGGGCTGTCTGGTTTGCCGATCTTGGGCCGCTGTGCTTGGCTCTGGACACTTTCATCGCATCAGAGTAGCAGAACGCAGTGGTTACAGTGTGAGAATTTACTGTTATGTTGGCAAAAAAGCCCTTGATTTTCTCCCTTTGAGAACACAGGAGTGAGGATTTGGCTGTGTTTCCAAATGCTTGTTACATTTTGCTTTAAACCTGAGATTTGGCAAATGGCTGCCCGGGATTCATACTGGCGTGGAGAGAAATTGAAAAGTAGTTAATGGTAACGGTGGCATGAAGGTGACCTGGGCTTACATCCTTTCCTCTAAATTATTTTTTCTTCCAGAGAACATTCAGCACGGTTTCGTTTAGAAAGAAGATTGGAGTTTCTTTCTTTTTCTTTTTCTTTTTTTAAGGCAGCTATACTGTCATAGCTCTCTGAGGGCTGCCATGAGGATCTACTGTTAACCGATAAAACTAATAATTTAGCACTTAGATAGAGATATGTAGTAGAAAGGGCACAGGATTCAAAAGTGAGGAAACAAATCTTTTTCAGTAATCCTAGCTGTGGTCTCATGCTGGTTCTTTCTCTGGGCCTTTTTCTCTATCTGTAATAATTACTGTATTTAAACGTCTATAGCACTTTTCTGTGTGCGAGGTGCTGGTTCACGTGCTTTTACATATGCCTTAACTCATTTAGTACTCTCAACAATCTTATGAAATAGCAGTTTTTACAAATGAGAAATTTGAAGGACACAGATTAAGTATTTTGTCCTAGGCTTTAAAGCTAGTCGAATGGCTGCGACTGGATTTTTATCCAGGTAGTTTGACTCCAGAATCCTGTGCTCTTAAACATTATGCTTCATCCTCTAACATGAGGGGGCAAATGTAAAGGACCCTTCTTCAAATTTTGTTTGTGAGTTACCTAAGTCATTTAAGAAAGGAAACTTGTTTACTGCTTTTGACTCAGTGCATAGTATAAGGTTACATACCTAGGGGACAAAAAGTAAAGAATTGTTAATTTGGTACCTAGTGGGGAGTCTATCTCCATCTACTTTTGTGTTCTGTGCTTTTTGTTATGCCGAGGGGTCTAAAATGGCCGACTGCAGCAGGCTGGACACACCCTTCTTGTTTTGCCTGATTTGCAATCTGGTCTAATGCTTTGGGACAACCAGTCATTTACTGCAATATATTTTTTTTACTGCAATATATTTTTTTATTTTTACCCATTATTAATATTTTGGTGTGTTGATCCCAAAGTACAATGGTAAAGGAAAGGTTATTGCCTTTTTTCTTGTAATAAAAGACTGAAAATACATGTATTTCTTTTATTATTTGGTTAGGATACATTCATTGAAATGGAATTACTACATCAAAGAGTATGAACATTTTAAACACTCAATATGTATTGCCAATTTTTTTCCCAAAAAGGTTTTATTAATTTTTACTCACACAAGCACTGAGTAGTGTTTTTTAAAAAATATTTTTATGCATAAAACAGTATTATTTTAATTTTTCATTTCTTGGTGATTAGTGAGTTTGAATTCTTTTTTTCCTCTGTATGTTTCTCAGCAGCTTTATGTATTGATAGTTCATCTTATACTGATTTATCTGTTGGAGTTGCAGTTCAGTGTTTATTATTGTTATCTATTTGCACTCTGTAAAGAAAGACTATTACTCAGATTTCTGTAATATGTTATAAATACCTACTCCATTTTATTGTTTGACATTTAATTTTTGTTTTTGAATTTTTGGTTAGTAGAGATTTGAAATCATGTGGTCAAATCTATCTTATGTTTTGTGATTTTTCTTCCATTGTTTAAGTTCAAATGGCTCCCTCAATCTAGAAATTTGGTACTCGTAGCTTTGATGTCACGTATGGGGAAAAAAAGATCCGTAATTTCACCACCCAGAGATAACCAGTGTTAATAAGTTTGTACACTTCTTTTCATTCTCCCTGCATTTTTCTATAGAGTTGATCATATATATGTACTATATTGCCTTTTGTTTTTAACTTTATAACATGCATATTTACATGTTAAACATTTTTTGTAATTGTCACTTGATAGTTTCACGATATTCTGTTTTGTGGAAGTATTTTACAGATTTTCAGTATTTTAAATTATGTGATTAATGTCTTTTCATTTAGTTTTTATTAATTATTGATTTGGGGTTATTTCTTTATAGAGTTCCAGAAGTATTTGTTAAAAGGTTTGAACATTATAAAGACTTGCCATAATTGCTTTCCAAAAAATTGTCAGTTTTTTCCCCCAGTCAAATATTTAGGTACTTAAATTTATTTATTTATTTTTTTTGCTAACTTCCTATGTAAAAGAATATCTTTGTTTTATGATACAGTTCTCTGATTATTGGGAGGCTAGACTTTCAGATCTTTATTATCCTTATTTCCTTTTGTGAATTATTCACTTTGAGCCTGAATGTTATTTATTCTGCTCCTGGTATATGTTAGTTGCCATTAAGTCTGAAGAAAATATTTGCGATTTCCAAAGATAACTGCTATGTGGGTTACAGGTTCTTGGTAGCCATTTTGAGATAACATTTGTCCTTTAAATAGATAGCCATTTCTTTTTATTTCAGAGGAAAGCACTTTTTGAGTGCTGCATAGCAGTGGTGCTCCCTGGCTATGGGTGTGTGAGACAACATGGCAACATTTTGTCCCTAATAAGAAACGAACTTACAGAAAAAACAAAATAGTAGTCCCCGCTCCCCCATCCATTTAGGGACTAATCTTATTTTAAATATTAATGAGTGATCTGAGGGAGAATAGGGGCAATAGTGAAATGTCCGCATTTATAGATACTAGTAAGTACTTTGGGGACGGAAATGCAAATAGGAACAAACTGCAATACCTGAGAAGGCATCCTGAGTGGGCTGACAGTTGGAACAGCGCAGGCAAGAGCAGTGTAATGACTTTAGGGGATATAAATAGTATGTTAAGTTTATAAAATAATTTCCTCGTAGAGGCATTAGGTCCCAAGACAGGGATTTCAGTGTAACTGCCAACAACTTATTAATGTCATAAGCCCAATTAGCTGGTGCAGAGGCAAAAGAGCCATTAAAAATCTAGGCCTTAGTAAGAATGGTATGAGACCCAAAAAATTCCTCTGTTTGTATAAACCCCTCTGAACCAAATAACTGTTTACAGTGGTAATCTCTCCTCAAGTAGCCCCTTGACTGTCACTCACCCAGTTTTGAAAAGGGAGTGGGTAGAGTGTATTATCCTTTCTGTTTCATTTTTCTTGTTTATAATATGTAGGTGAATTACATATTCTCAAAGGTCTTGTAGGGTCTGAAACTGGGTCTGTTATTTCTGGTTTAGAGAATCTGTTTAATTATGATTATTAAATAAACCTTTCTAGTTTATTTATTCCCACTCTTTTGAATTTAATAACATTCTAATTTTTATTTTTTCAGTGAAGGGTGGGGATTATTGGATTTAGATGAGCTGTTACTTACTGCTTTTTGCTACCCAGTTACACTGGGTTAATTCAGTTAGTTGTAAGCTCCCATTTTTCAGCAGTTTGCTAGCTGCAGGTGTTAAACCAGGCTTGTGTATGTGGTGGGGTGGGGAGGTTGAGAGGTGTATAAGCAAAAAGAAAAAAAAAGAAAAGCTCATGTTTTAGATGATGTAGCTGAGAAGGTCCTTTATTGGAGGTTCGTGCCTATTTTAAGCGTGGGAGTCCCATTTTACATCATGCTAGTGTCCAGTTCCCAAATCCATCTATGATCGGGGTTAGAGAGAACTTGGATATTTGAAATAGCCTAAAAGCATTTAACCTTTGATGTATACAATTTCTTCCTGCCCTCTCTTCGTGTTACAGCCAGCAGC